AAAACATACAACGGTGCTGGTGGTTTTCACTTTAAATTCATGACCACAGACCTCAGAGTGGGCCCCCAGTGCTGGCTGGCAATCCTGCTGCTCCCCTTTACAGCAAAAGTCCTTAAAAAAGGAGTTAACTACAGTTGCTAACCCCATTTTGCTCCTTCCCATTCTCTCCTGAAGCTCCTCTGAAGAGGCTTTCCTTCTCATTACCCTTCCGAGTGTCTTGGCTAAGTTACCAATTATCTGTCATAGCAGCATTGAACAGGGTGGATCACTTCTTCCATTTGAAACACTTTCTTCACACGGCTCCTAAGACAATGTGTGTTTGTGACTCTCCTCCCATCTCACTGGCCACTCTCCTTAGCTCGAGCTGCTGTCTGTGCCCTGCCTTTCAGGGTTCAGTCCTCAGACCTCTTCTGCTCTCTACCAGCTCTCACTCTCTGGGAAAACTCATCCAATCTCATGGCTTTAAGTACCATACACAAGCAGATGACACCAGAGTTTATCTTCCACCCCAACCTTCTCCCTGAACTCTAGACGCTCTGCACTCTGTCCTGTATATTGCACTTCAGCTGTACTGTCCTTCTCACTGCACCTTACACAGGTCAGGCAGCTTCCCACCTGAGTATGTTTACCTGAAGTTCCCTCTCCCAGGAATAATCTTCCTTTGAACAGTTGCCTGCCTTTCTCCTTCACTATTAAGGGCTCTGTCACCTTATGCCGAGTACTTTCCAAGCCCTTCTAAAATAACACCCCCTTACCCTGCTTCATAGCATTCACCACCCTAAGACATTACGTTATCTATCTGTACGTTCATCTGCTTTATTCACTGTAACCCCTATTAGAATATAAGCTCTGTAGGGGTTGGGTATTTGCCTGTGTTATTTACTGTCTAGCACAGAGAATGCACTAAAACATTTATTGAATTTTTTAAAAAGATTTTACTTATTTATTTATTTGACAGAGAGAGAGAGAGAGAGAGAGAGAGCACAAGCAGGCAGAACAGCAGGCAGAGGGAGAGGGAGAAGGAGAAGCAGGCTCCCCACTGAGCAGATAGCCCATGTGGGGCTTGAACCCAGGACCCTGGGATCATGACCTAAGCCAAAGACAGATGTTTAACTGACTGAGCCACCCAGGTGCCCCATGATTTTTAAGAGATGTTAAAGTTCCCTGGTTTATCCTCAAGAGGTGAGATTATGAGAACACTTCAATAGATAAGTTATACATTTCGCTAATGTTTGAGTTTTTTTTTATAATTAAACGTATTACTTTTGTCATCAGAACAATGGAAAAGAACACATAAAAATATTAAAGTTTAACAATAATGAGAAAGAATCTAATTATATAAATTTGAGACTTTATATTTATGTAAACTAGTGAGAAAACGTTTTACAAATAGATTCGAAAGACTTACATAAGGATGATACACAGGTTTTATCTTGAAAGTTAACTGTAGTTGACCGATTGTGGCTGCGTGAAATACTATACTGAAAGGAATCCTGAAGCTAAATTGGGTTCTCCAGAATAGAAGGATGCTTTTCAGGAAAATGGAAGGGGTGTGAATTGTGATTCATGCCAAATAAATGCCACTCAATGACTTTATATCTGTATGTGTACCACTTCCAATCCTTTGTATTCAGCTGAGTTCTCCCAAGAATTCCACATTTGTACATCCCTGCCTACAAGAGATCCCTAGACAAACATCTAATGCGACTTCAAACTTGGTCACAACCAAAACAGACCTTTTGATCTGCAGTGCTTTTCAAAAAGAAACAAACATCATTCTTCCTCTAGTCTTTCCTCTTGCATAAGGACACCTTCATGCACTAGGCTGCTCATGTAAAAGCTCTAGGAATTATCCTTGATTCCTCTTTCATTCAACCCTGTACTAAACATTCATAATCCATAAGCAAATCTTATTAGCTCTAAGCCCGAAGCATTTTCTAACTTTATCTGTATCTTTCCAGCTCCTAGATGAGACTGAGAAGTAAACGGGTAACATGAGCTACCATGGCCTTTCATTTCATCGACTTTAATAGGTTTCTAGCTGCTCTGCCTTTTTTGTACTCTTGCCCCCTGTAATCCATTACCTACATACCAGCCAAAGTAATTTTTAAAAATACAAACCAAATAATGTCACTTCCCTATGGTTTCCCACTGCAGTTGGGAAACTGCAGTGTTTCCCTAATCCTCGCTAATTTTCCCAGGTCTGTCTCTCCAATTTCATCACAAACCACTCTCCTCTTACTCCCTACACTCCTGCCATATTGGTCAATGCTGTTTTCACTCTAGGGTTTTGATACTAGCTGTTTCTTACAGGATGCTCTTCCTCTGACAGGCTCTCTGGTGACATTCTGGTTTCAGTTTAAATGTCCCCTCTTTAGAAGACTTCCTTTACCACTCAATCTAAAGTAGCAACCCAATCCTACATCCTATGTTAACTCTCTACATGCTACAAATAACTATTTGATATTTGCATAGTTTATTTATTGTTTGTTGTCTCTCTCTCCTACTGTAATGTAAGATTAAAACAGTATCATATCACCACTCTGGTGAGAGGGTCTATTTAATAAATATTTGCTGAAAATGATTTGTACAGTTTTTAAATGTGTCATAGTCCAGTAAAAAAGTTGTGAGTATGTATTTATTTTTTAACTGAATGGGAACAGAACTAAATAAGAATTCCTTATTTGGGAAAAGAAAAAGTAATTCTCCAAGGCTAAAAAAACATTAATTTATTTTGATTCAAATCCAAAATATACAAACTTTTTGCCTGGCAGATTCCAGTGCTGACTTTACAACAATGAAAAAACAACTTGCCCTCATGGAGCTTAAAAGAGAAGAAACAAGCTATTTCAATTTGGTAACTAAATGCCACGAAAGGAATAGTAAAAAGTGCTATAGGTATATATATATAGCCTGATAGGTGGACAATCAGGAAATGCTTCCTGAAGAAAGGGCTGTTTAAACTGCAATCTGATCTGAAGGATAAGCAGTAATGATGGACATACTTGTGGGAGGAGGGAGACAGGCACTCAGGGTGTAAGAGTATCTTGGGCAAAGGAAATATGGTCAAAGCCCAGAATCCAAGCAGCTCATAACATATTTTCAGGAAACTTAAAGTAATTTAATGTGGCTGGAGAAGATATAAATTGAGAAGGGGTGAGAGAAAGACTGAGAAGTAAATGGGTAACATCATAATGCCCCACTGAGCCATTTAGACTTTTCTGAAGGTAAGAAAGTGCCACTGAAGAACTTAAAGCAAGGTAATGTTTCTCCATTTACCATAATCTTCATTTAAGAAAGATCACTGTGGCCACATGGTAAAGAAGAGTTTAGAGAGAGACAGAGAAGCCCATCTCTTCAAAGCGACAACGGATAGAAGAATTAGGATAGTAAGAGCAGAGCCAAAGTAAAAAAAAAAAAAAAAAAAAAGCAATTATTAAGATCCTACTGTAAGTATTAGAAGCAACTAAAACTTCTAATACAAAACAAAATAAACATGGGACATGCAAATAGAGAGGTATAAAAGTTACCAAATCCATCAGGAGTTAAGTTTTATAGAATTCTCTGAGATGTTAGCTGAACTTTCAAGAAAGTATAGTTAAGATTTCCAAAGATGGGGGTGCCTGAATGGCTCAGGTGGTTAAGCATCTGACTCTTGATTTCAGCTCAGGCCATGATCTCAGGGTCATGAGTTTGAGCCCCGCGTTAGACTCCAAGCTGAGGATGGAGCCTGCTTAAGATTCTCTCTCAGGGGGCTCAGTCAAGTGTCTGCCTTTGGCTCAGATCATGATCCCAGGGTCCAACCATGGCTGTCTCCCCGCTCAGTGGGGAGTCTGGTTCTCCCTCTCCCTTTGCCCCCGTCATGGGCACACACACACTTTCTCACTCTCTCTCAAATAAATAAATAAAATCTTAAAAAAGATTCTTTCTTCCTCTCCCCACCACTCACATGCTCTCTCTCAAAACAAAGATTTCCAAACTTTCAAACTTTATAAGACTTTTACACAGTAGCATTGCTTTCTAGTATAAATAATTTGAAGAAACTTAAAAAATAATCTGCATGTTTAAAATGTGTAAATTTTTTTAAAGCAAGAACTTCAAAATCTGTATTTATGAGTAATTGATAAGATTATAATTCCTCATAATTAAATAAATGTATTCTATTCAACCGTAAGCTGTAAAAATTATCATATGCCCTCTAGTTATCATCAGAAAGCAAGTTTTGCTGATAGTAAAATCATTATGGATAAATAAAAACAGTAAAATCAAGACATATGTATATATATTCACATAAAATAATTCAAGACTGAATAATTCAAGACTGAAAGGCACTTATTATTTCATTATTCTGATAAAAATTAAATCAATAATAAAATATATTTCAGACTGTGATAAATTTGAAATACTATTTAATCTAATTCAGCAAATATTTATCAAGAATTTATACACACACACACAGACACACACACTTTGCATACACATTAGCACGACAGAGATAAACTATACTAAGAGACAGACCCCTCCTCAAGAATTTTATAAAACTAGATAGGGAGACAGACACTTATATACCTCAATAAGCATTTTTATAAGACTTCTGCAATGATAATGTAACTTTATAAATTAAATCGTTGTAGAAGAGACAATAACATTCTTTTGCATTTGTAAGATACAGACTAAGATTCTAACTATAGTTAATATATTTTATATTATCAGTGTTCTACTCTACAGATATAATGTTGGATTCAAAAATATCCTACTAATTTGGATTGCAAACCCAAAAGACTACTTGCTAAATACCAAAAAGAAACATTAAAACCTAAACAAGAAATAAATGGCAAAAGAAAAAAATAGGAAGATGCAAAGAGAAATAATCTACATAGGAATTTATTAAAGGCCAAAAAAAAGCCAACACAATCATAATTTGCATTGTAGATCTGTAATTTAAGTACCACATTTTTCACCTCTCATTTTAATACCTGAAAGTAACATACAACACTTACCTTACAACTATAAGCATGGCTATCAGGATTGAACAAATCGGATCTGCTATCATTAGACCAAAATTTTGCATCATGATGGCAGAGGCAATTACACCAATACTCCCAAGTGTATCTGCCAGAATGTGTAAAAATACACCTGGGAACAAAGCATAATCAGAATCAAAATAGTATCTTCTGATCAATGAAAAATACAAATATTTCTTCAAACTGTATTCTTGACTTTATATATTAAAAAACTAAATACCAATCTGAAAATCAGGGAGAATTTAGATTCACTGCTCAATAATGAAGTAATAATACTTCCAGAAATTGAAATAATCTTTCCTTTTTTATATCAGCAGGGGTTAAAATATCTGATTCATAAATTATACTTGTTTTTAATGTTCCTTAATATTTGATATAACATACATGAGGGATAACAGAAACAAGTTTACTTTAAGCACATTCAGCTCTGGTTAAAAAATTCCACAAGTTAATTAATAATTTGTTAGAAGAAAATGGTATTAGGCTGAAAGAATTGTTCAAGAAAGTGTTTATGATTACAAATATATGTATACACAGAGCCCTCTGCTGGTAACTAAAATTATTACTACTTGAGACTAAATTTCCTATGGACTGTGACTATAAAACCTGATATACTTATTAATTATCCTGAAGGTTTTGTTACCTAAAATTATACATTAATCTCAAACCTGATAAGAAAGAAAGTAGAGATATGAATATTTAAAAGCAAATATAAAATATTTTAAAGATTTTAATAAAAGTTAATTAACACTTGCTAAATATTTAATATTTAAATACTTGATATTTAAATATTAAATTGGTAGGATACTGATATTCTGTCTTGAAATCTATATAATATTGTGATATTGTGATTATAATAAGAAATACATATTTGGTCTTCATTCTGGTTTCTGAAAAACCCTTGGAACTTCCTAAGTGACAGAGACAAAGGTGTCTCTCATTAATGTTAATATACTTTTGGACCCCACCTAAGGATGGGAGCTGGCTGCCAGGAGAATCAGTCATATGATTAGAGGGTTGGAACTTTCAGTCCCAGGCCCCTCTGACCTCCGGTTATCAGAGAACTGCTTGCTGGTATGAGAATACATTCTTCACTCCCCCATTGGAATTGGGCACAGAATTAGTTCGTGGTCAGAAGTTGGGATCAGAACCAGAACCCATTAAATATTAACAGTTAATAATCATATGGAAAACCATTAAAAAAATCAAGAAGTTTAAAATACATTATTTCTTAAACAGACTTAACTAAGACAATAAATTATTCAACATTTAGATCTTTAATAGGTAAAATTTACTGTATAGTAAAACACTGTCTTTGAAACAAACTTAAATCATATTACTAAAAATGGAACATTTTAAAATAGCATTTATTCTATCTGAAAAGAAATAATATGTAAAAAGCATGTGTCTACTTTAGAAGTATTTATTCTACTTCTTTATTATTCACTGGACAATTAAAGGAAAACCATTTATTTTTTAGGTATAAAACAGATTTGCTAAAACTTGAAAACACTTTCTAATAATTTAAAAACAGACTATTACTGAATCAAATCTTAATGTGCTCTAGGAAATTATCTTCGCTTCATCGACTACTGTGTAATTTTATATCAAGTATTATACCAAATATAATTCATCCCACCGTACTTAATATATTTCTTCATTCGTATGGAGTATTGACCTTTATAACTATTTTTCAAAAAGCTAAATGGCTCTATTTCCTATAACAAAAATATGCTGAAGCATACTTAGAGACAAAAAACTCTTCTTCTAGGGTATTTCAAATAGCAAAGAATTAAACAGACTAATAAGTGTCAAGGCCACGTTAAGTTTAAAAAATAAAATTGAAGAAAAATACCCATCAAAGTAGACTGAAGGTATCTAAGCTTCAAAACTCTTAAGTGACATGTGATTTCAAGTCTTTATATTCTTTAATCAGTGTTTTAGTAGGATCAGACATGAAAACAGCTCTAAATACTGAAAGGGAAGAGAAAAGAATCATTTGTTCTTGATTTTTCTTTGACTGAAAAGTCCCCAACCTGAAAACTGGCTTTATTAGCAAGTGTTATTAATTACCTAAACCCTACTTACTTTCTAGTAACTGTTCCAAGAAGAAAAATCACTAAAGAAAAAAGTTTAAACCAGTATGTTTAATGGATTTAAAAGTTGAGAGCTGGACTTGGTAGCATATGGATATTTTCACTGCCCAAGAACACTCAAGCCAGAGGTCATATATATATTTTCTTAATTTTTTGTACTTCGTATCTGGTAATTTTAATATGTGAGTCATTGGGGTTCTAAATCTTTGCTTTGTTGTTGTTGATCCTTTCCTCTAGCCAGATGTCGTATTGAAGATGCTGCAAATAACTGAAAAACTCATTTACCTCAGTTTGTTTTCATGTATGAGTATCCACGTGGAAACTCTGAATGCCAGACACTTTTCCCTATCCTTGAGATATCTACTGGGCTGCTGCAGCCACCATAAATTGATGGATACTCAGAAAACATAAAGTAATTTTCATAACAGCTTATATAAAAGATAATTAGGAAGGCAAATCTAACCTCCCTCCTCTCAACTTGTGATGATTTCCAAAACTAAAAATAAACTCATATTATCAAGGCTAATTTATAGCATTGGATATAGATGCATTACATATGCATGATTACAAGCTATTTCAGCAAATGCTGTTCTAAACCAATTCTATATATTTTGCAAATGGAAAACTAGTGACTGGAAGACACATTTAAGCCTCCTGAAATAAACTCCTCAGTATGGAGGAGCACATTCATAGTGGGGGAAAAAAAGAAAAGCTAGAGCTATATCAAGAAATAGTGGAGAAAAATAGGCACACTAGGGATTGGATCACAAGCTATTCAGAGAGTCAGAGTGAAGTCAAAAGTTAAAAGCAGGAAGGTGGGAAGCTGGAAATTAGGAAACTTTGATGATGAAGTCTAAACAGAAATTCAGAGCCAAAGATCGGCTCCTACCGCAAAAAAGAAAAACTGTCATAATTCACAGACAAAACTGATTTTCTCTGCTTTATAAAATTTTGTAATGTACTGTTTTACATGGCATGTAAGCTCCTGCTTAGCCATCGTCATTTGATGCCAATGGATATGACAAAGGTTTCACTTTGCGTTTTATATATAAGTTAATATTAATATAACAGAGTTAATTTTTTAGAGCAAGTTTACATTCATAGCAAAACTGAACAGAAGGTAGAGAGATTTCCCATATACCCCTGTCCTGGGCATAACATTCCAAATTGTCAAAATCTCCTAGCAGAGTAGTACATTTGTTACAAGGGATAAAACTACACTGGCGTAATTATCACCCCAAATCCAACTACATTAGTGTTCATTCTTGGTCTTCAATTCTGAAGGTCTGAATGCATTTCATTTCTTCCTCTAAATCTTTCCACAGTGTAAATACATACTAAATACTGAACTTGGAAAAAATATTTAGTAATTCTATGAAGGCAAATATATTATACTATGATATTACTATAGTCATGGGCATGACTATTATTTATAGTTAAGCAGTATAGTTTCTAACCTCTGTAATCTTATTAAATCTATGAAAATAGCCAAGTGATAGTTCAAAGAATGTACGCTAATATGCCTAACAGTATATATTTAAAAAGTCACAAGGAAAGATAATACTATAGACACAAATACTTTTACGTATTTTTCTTACAGGAAAATTTCAGATAGCTCAATACAATGAAACCTATTTCATAAAACTGAGAAATATACAAATTGCTTGTCATACCTTGTAAAATCTGTCTGCTGGGTCCTGCTGTTTCTTTTAAGGAGGGACCATCTGTAGAGAGTTAAGTTATTTTAAAATATATCTTCAATTACCAATTCCATTTTTCCAATTCAGAGAACATTTCATTCAAATATATCATGAAGGATGCATGACTATATACAGCCACAACAGACTTACAAAATTATTTTTTAAATTTAATATAATAATTTAATGGAGATAGACATGGGCAACTTCAAAATGCATCAATGGTACATACATTTAGGAAATTAATATATCAAGCAATCTGGTAAAAAATGGTAAATTAAGAACATAGTGAAAAGTCTCCTGCTATTCATAACATATCTTATACTACAGTTTGCTACATTAATTTTACAACTGGAAAACTGAAACAAAACAAAACTACTGCTGAAAGTTACAAGAAGTCCAAGAAATGAAGCCAGGTCAGCACCCAGGGTAACGGGACTGTGGCAAACAAGAGTTTTCCAACAGCTTCTAGATGGATGTGGCAAGCTTTTCAAAGAAAGGAGATAAAATACTTTTCATTTTACCTTTATGATTAAAAAATTTAAGAATACTGTAATTTCTATACTGACTCTGAAGATACTATGAGCTTTAACATCAAAGCAGAAAACATAGGTAAATGATGTAAAAGATCAGCAATATTGAGATCATCAGGAGGTCTGACAAACTTTCTGAACATATCCAACAGAAAGCCTGCCTGGGGTCATGGTTCTTGGCCCACAGTACCAAAGAGCTGACAGAGCCTTACTACAGCTTTGATAAGAGATGGTAACAATGCTAGAAGATGCTGCCCAGTGATATGGCACTGCATATGGTGGGGAGAAAGACGCAGTCACCTTAAAAAATCGTGCTGATTGTCAAAAGGGTTAACTGTCCTAAAAATCCAGCTCCTGATCAAGGCAAGAGATTTGTCTAAAGGTAGTAGATCCAGATAAAGACAGTAATTTTTGACATAATTATGTGGAAAGGTATATTCTGCTATACTAATATAATGGTTGTATAAAACAACATAACTCCCACCTACCTATGTAAAATCTGTAAAGTCCTTCTGGACAAAAAATCTGTTATTTGTGGTAGAGACTGGCTACTTGTTTATCACCCATTTCTTCTTCTTCTTTGGTAAACAAATAAACTACATTTCTCGTGCTCTCAAGTTATATATCTAACAGTGTTAAGCAAAGAAATATGACAGGTAGGGTGCCTGGGTGTCTCAGTTGGTTACATGTCTGCCTTTGGCTCAGGTCATGATCCCAGATCCTGGGATCTGGTTTGCAGGGAGCCTGCTTTTTCCTCTCCTTCTGCCTGGCACTCTCCCTGCTTGTGGTCTCTCTCTCTGTCTAATAAATAAATAAAATTAAAAAAAAAAAAAAAAGAAATATGACAGGTAAACCACTTCTAGGCTCATAAAAATGCCCCACATGATATTCTATGTACCCTATCTCCGGGGAGATGCAGGGAATCCAGTGAAGGATTCCAAGGGTCAAGAATCCCAGGGATGAAAGGAACCTAGATCCCTGAATTGAATGAGAAACACCCACCATCCTTTACCCTGTTAACCCAAGAGCAATATATATACTTTTACTGTTTGGGTCACTGAGATAGGAGCAGTTAAACCAAGCAAACAAAAAACCAACTAGTTTAACTGACAGTGTAGCATTTCAATAAATATAAAGCTCACAGTATTTCCCACTGAGACTATGATGTCTCCCAAAATGGAATCATGGCCCTATTACTTGTATATCCTCAGACTGGCTAATAAACAGTGGAGGCAGAAATAACAGTAAAGAGGAGATTCTGGAGTCAGATTTCCTTTTTTTTTTTTTTAAAGATTTATTTATTTATTTATTTTACAGAGTGGAAGAATCTCCAGCAGACACCCCACTGAGCAAGGAACCCTATTCAGGGCTCAATCCTATGACCCCGAGATCATGACCAGAGTCAAAATTAAGAGTGGGACACTCAATCAACATAAAAAACTAGGAGGCAGATGCTTAACCGACTGAGGCACCCAGGAACCACTGGAGTCAGATTTCCTTGTGTTTGAAGCCTAGCATTTCCTTTTACTAGTCACTATGATCTTCATGTGCCCTGAGGTCATGTAAATTCTTCTTTGCCACTTACCCTTCTCCCCCTTGGCTAAAAAAAAGCTACCTTTCACCTATTTAAATTCTTACTGCAGTGCATTACTCAAGGTATAAAAAAAAATTCTAGGGCAACAAACAAGGGGTCAATTGCAAATATTGGTGGTAATGCTACAAAAGTAATGACTCTATTGACCAACCAGCAAAATCCCTTTGTAAACAATACAGTTTCCAACTGTTTTTAATAGAATGCTAATGAAACTATCAATCTATAGATCATCAAAAATAATTTTTGATAACAGATCACTATGTAATTTTTGGAATGTAATTCTGAAGGTGTTCAAAGAATTGACTGGAACTGCTATAAACACAATTTCTTCTATTTAAGGTTTCTTATTACTTACATTATAAAGCTAGAAAATAGGAACAGAATTATTGCCAAAACATTTTTATATTGTTAAGTGTCATTTATCCATACACTAATTGAGGAAAAAAAGAGCTCAAATTATCTAAGATATGTATTTTAAGTAAAATGTTGCCTTTTATGATTATACATGTATCAACATTTTTCAAATAGAATTACTTTAATTGACTTTTAGTAATAACTACAATAACTCCATCCAAAAGAAGTGTTTAAATGCTAAATCTTATGTTTCTAGGAAATAAAAAATTTAAATTTATATATGCATTTTATTGCTAAGAAGTAGAACACATGATCAATCAATAACTTAACCTAATATAATCCATTATTATAAAATGCTGGAATGAAAATAAAAATTCAAAGATAAACAGGATGTTGTTAAATTTATAACTATTTATAAGTTTTTGAATGGGTGAGAGTAGTTCTCAAATCACTAAGTTATTTGGAGTCCACTGAATATATTCCAGGGTAATAGAGAAGTTCCATTCTAGGGGCACCTGGGTAGCTCAGTTGCTTAAGCATTTGCCTCTTGGTTTTTTACAGTATGTTTCTTACAGTTTCTCAAAAAGTTAAAAATGGAACTACCATATAATCCAGTAATCACACTACTGGGTATTTACCCAAAAAATACAAAAGCACTAATATGAAGGGATATATGTACCATTATTTATTGCATCATTATTTATGGTAGCCAAATTATGGAAGCAACCCAAGTGTCCATCCATAGATGGATAAAGAAGACGTGGAAGGGAAGTATCAGGCAATATTTACCAAAAATTACAATGAAAATGTGCAAAACTGAAAACCCCTGTTGTATTTTTATAAGTCTATATGTAGTACAAAAGGCCTTATCGTACTTCAAAAAATTATAATTTTCATTTGCTAAAATGTAATTGTTTCTCATTCACTGACACTGATTTAAAATAGTGGCACACAGTGTAATGTAGTCACTGAAAAAAAGCTATATCCATGGCATTATACTGAGTTAATTTCATTATATACTAAACATGAATTAGCCCTGGGAACCATTTAGTCTGATTCATTAGAAAGGCAGTTGATTACAAAACCTTTTCAAGAGACTCTTTCAACTAAGAGAGTAATCTATACAAAATTTCTGTGTATTTGGAAGGCTGTCCATTTGAAAATATTTTGGCTGTACTCACCATGAGAATGAAAGTGCCCGTGCCCATGAGCATAATCATGACTATGTGCAGCACCGTGTTTCAATTCGTGACTATGGCAATGATCCCCATGGCCATGTGCCTGATCCAGAACACCATTAAAAAGGGAATGACTGTGTCCATGGCCTAAAAAGTAGTTAGAACAAAAAGTATGTAAAAACATATTATGAAAATGGTTACAATAATACTGACATTAGTGAAAAGAATTAGCTTTAAAGAGAGATTCAATTAAATATTTACTTGTAAAAAGTGTTACAGATTCATTAAAACTGACTGAGTTCCTACCATGGAATATGGGAAAGAAATGAAATATGGACGGAAGTGGTAGACTTTACTAGAGATGAAAATAAGTGAGAAGTACACAGAAATATTTAGAGATTAGATAATGTTACTCATTCATTCAGAAAATACCTATTTGGAAGATACTATGTTATAGGCACTGTTCCTATAAGGCACTGGGGATAAAGCAGTGAAGAACACAGATAAAAATCTTAGCTAAAACTTTGTGAAGTACTATTATATATATAATCAAAGATGAAACAAAATGTATGCATATGGTCACTTTGAGACAGAGGCAGGGAAGCCACTGTATTTGATAAAAGATCAGCAGAATTACATTATAGCAAGTAGAATCTTTAGAAAAAACAAAAACAAAATAATGCTGAATCCTCTGTCCATAGCAGACCTAAAAAGTATTAAACCACCAAAGAAACATCTTATACAAGATATTCCAAAGCACAGAAAAAGATCAGATGTTACCCAACTCAAAAACATCACTAATATTCACAAAAATCCTAAATACCAGTAAACCAAATCCAGTATTGCATTATATGAAAAATCATGAATAAGGGGGAGATCAACTCCAAAATGGTAGAGAGGTGATACTGGCAAATTAGCTCTCTCTCTAAAACAACACAAATATAAGGGACACATCTAAAAATTAACCAGTTCAGAACTCTGGTAATTAACCAAAACCAGAAAACAAACTAAAAAGCACCCATCCAAGATGAATTGATGAATGTCAAAGAGACACTGAAAACTGTACACCAAGATAAAAATAATTTACCATATATAACAGAACTTGACTAAGATTAACTGGTGACTTCTCCATAAAAACGATGGAGGTCAAAAGCCAGTGGGATGACAAAATCAAAATGTTAGAAAAAGACTCAACCAAGAATTCTAAATTCAACTCTCTCCATTAAAAATAAAGGAGAAATAAGATATTACCACATAAACAAAAACACTACCTGCAAATGAAATGAAAGAACACTAAATAGTAACCAAAATCCACACAGAGAAATAAAGAGCACTGGTAAAGGTAATTATGACAGAGGATAAATGTATTTTTAAATTTGTGACTTGTTTCTTCTCCTGCATATTTTGAGAGACAACTGCATTAAGTAATAATTATAAAACCGTACTGATGGACATCATAAAAACACACAATTTGTATGACAATAATAGTACAAAGAAGGGAGGTGAACAGAGAAGTATATTGGAGCAAAGGTTTTGCATATTACTAAATTACTATTAATCTGAACTAAACTGATTTAAATTAAGATGGTACTTGTAATCCCCAGGACAACAATTAGGAAAATATTCAAAAATACATAGTAAAAGAAACAAGAGAATTAAAAGGTATAATAGAAAGTATCTACTTAAAAACAGGAATCAGGGAATAGAGTAACAAAAAGAACAGAAGATAAAGAAGACAAATATTATAATGGCAGATGTAAATCTTACCTTAATAGTAATTACATGAGATGTAAATTGTTTAAATTTCCCAATCAAAAGACAGAGACTGTCAGAATGGATTAAAAAAATATGATCCAGTTACATTTTGTCTATAGGAGACATACTTTAGAGTCAAAGACATAATAAACAGGTTAGAAGTAAAAAGACAGAAAGAGAAATACACCATGCAAGCAGTTAAAAAAAAAAAAAAAAGAGCTGGAATGGTTATCATACTATCACCCAAAATAAACTGTAAGCCAAAAATTACTTTAAGAAAAAAAGAACATATATAATAACATGATCAATCTATCTGGAAGATATGATGATTATAAACATATTGCACTGAACAACACAGCTCCAAAATGCACGAACCAAAACCTAAAATAACTGACTGAAAAAATATACAATTCAACAGTAACAGCTGGAGACTTCAATACCTACTTTTAATAATAAATAGATAACTAGGCAGAAGAGCAACAAAAAACTAGAAGATTGAACAACTATGGACAAATAAGACCTAACAGACACCTACAGAACACAGCAGAATACATACTCTTCTCCAGCATATATTTGTCCATACAGACCAAACGCTAGGTCATAAAATAAGACTCAGTAAACTGAAAAGAACCTGAAATCCTAAAAAGTGTATCATTTGATCACAATGGAATTAAATTAGATATCAATGACAGAAGAAAAATGAAAGACAAACTCTTAAATAAGAAATTACAAGGGAAATTGAAAAATACTTTGAGATGAACAAAAATGAAATGAAAAAACATGACATACCAAACTTACAAATTATATTTCAGCAGTGCTTAGAAAAATATTTCCCTATGACCAAAGGGGTATTCTTAAAAAAAAAAAAATTGATAAACCTTTAACTAAATTAGCCAATAAAAAAATGGCAGAAGGTACAAATTACTAAAACTGGGAAAAGAGGACTTCACAACTGACCTTATGGAAATAAAATGAATTTTTAAAAAAGACGTACTAAAGTAAACAAATAAGATAATTTAGATGGAATGGACAAACGAACATTCCTAGAAATCAAATCTGAATAGAATTTTAATGAGCAAAAAAAAAAAAAAAAGAAAAAAGAAAAAAAAGAATAATTTAAAAACTTCAAAAAAGAAAAGCCCAGGCCCAGAAGACTTCATTTGGAGCTCTGCCAAAGATTTAAAAAATACCAATACTGCACACTCTTCCCTGTCTACCCCCTTAAAAAAAATAAACAGAAGAGAAAGGAACACTTCCCAACTCATTACATAAGACCAGTATTATCCTGATACCAATGCCAACCAAAGACATCAAAAGAAAACTACAGGCCCAAATTCCTTAAGAATATAGACACGAAAGTTTTCAACAAAATACTAGCAAACCAAATGAAGCAATATATAAAAAAGATAAACTATGGCCAAATTTATGCTAAGAGTGAAAAGGTGATTTAATACCCCAAACCAAGCAATGTAATATGTCGTCTTAATAGAATAAAGGATAAAAACAAATTGATCATCTCAAAAAATGAAGGAGAAATTTGTGACAAAACCCAATACCCTTTCGTGATAAAAAAAACAAAAAAACCAAAACAAAACAAAACAAAAAAAACCTAGTAGACTAGGAATAGAAATGAACTCCCTCAATCTGATAAAGGGCAATTCTGAAAAATACAGGGCTAACATAGCTAACATCATATTTAATGAAGAAGAAGAAAGCTTTATCCTAAAGTCAGTAAAAAAAAATAAGGATATCCTTTCTCACCACTTTCTATTTACTGAAATGTACGGTACTGAATGTATGTACTAAAGTAGGGCGCCTGGGTAGCTTAGTTGGTTAAGTGTAGGACACTTGGTTTTGGCTCAGGTCATGATCTCAGGGTCATGGGATGGAGCCCTGCCTTGGGCTCCATGTTCGGTGGGGGGGGGGGGGAGTGTCTGCTGGAGATTCTCTTTCTCCCTCTCCCTCTGCTCCTCCCCCCACTCGCATGAGTGCATTCTCTCTATCAAATAAATAAAAAAAAACCTTTAATATTGTACTGAAACATCTCATTAGGGCAATTAAGCAAGGAAAAAAATTCAGATGCAAAAGGAAGAAGTAAAATTATCTCTATTTGCAGATGACATGATGCCAAAAAATTCTACAGAATCCACTAAAAATGTATTAGAATGTTGAACAACTTCAGCAATGTGGCAAGATGCAAGATCAATATCCAAAAATGAACTGTAACCCTATACATTAGTAAAGAACAATAAAAAAATGAAATTAAGAAAGCAATCACATTTACAATTAGCAACAACAAAAAAAGCCTAATAAAGTTAACAAGTGTGAAACATGTACACTAATAATAATAAAACATGTTGAAAGAAAATAAAGAAGCTATAGCAAATGGGAAGGCATCCCATGTTTATGGATCAGAAGACTTAAAATTGTGGGGCGCCTGGGTGGCTCCAGTGGGTTAAGCCTCTGCCTTCAGCTCAGGTCATAGTCTCAGGGTCCTGGGATCAAGCCCTACATCGGGCTCTCTGCTCAGCAGGGAGCCTGCTTCCCCTCTCTCTCTGCCTGCCTCTCTGCCTACTTGTGCTCTCTCCCTGTCAAATAAATAAATAACTTAAAAAAAAAAAAAGAAGACTTAAATTGCTAACATGACAGTACTTACCAAATTGATCTACAGATTCAATACAATTTCTATCAAAATCCCAACTGCCCTTTTTTGCAGAAATTGGTAAGCTGATCTTAAAAAAATTTTTTTAAAGATTTACTTTAGAGAGAGAGTACACACGCACACATGGGAGTGAGCAGAGGGAGTGAGCAGAGGAAGAGGAAGAGAGAAATTTAAGCAGACTCTGTGCTGAGCAGAGCGCGGGGCTTGATCTCATGACCCCAACTGAGGTCATCACCTGAGCCTAAACCAAGAGTTGGATGCTTAGCCAGATGCACCATCCAAAAGCCCCTATATGGAAATATATATAAGTAAAATAATCTTAAATTAGTAAGGAATAGGTAAAATTATCTTAAAAAAGAAGAATAAAGTTGGATAACTCCTATGTTCCAATTTGAAACCTACCTCAAAGGTACATTAAACAAGACAGTAGAGTACTAGCATAAGGATAAACATATAGATCAATGAAATAGACTTGAGAGTTCAGAATAAACTCTCACATTCATGGTCAACTGATTGTTGACAAGAATGCCAAGACAATTCAGTGGGGTGGGGAGGGATAATCTTTTAAACAAATGGTGCTGAGACAACCAGAAATCTATATATAAGAAAATGATAGTGGTCCCATCCCTCACACCATATATAAAAATTGACTGAAAATGCATCACACACTTAAATGCAGACCTAAATGGATACATTTTAACCATAAAATTTAAGGATAGTTTCTTAAAAGAAATCTATCAATGTAATTACAAATTTTAAATTGACTAAAGAGAAAAAATGATTACTTCAGATGCAGGAAGAAAAAGTAATATCCTTAACTTGATAAAATAGTTTCATTAGAAGCAGACCATAAACATCAGACCAAATGGTAAAATTTCAGTAGCATTCTTCATTGACTTAAGAAGAATGCACATTAAAGTCATCTGGAGAGCATTAAAACATGCTGATGTTTGGGACTTCCTCCAGAGATTCTAACAAAAATGTTCTGGGATAAACCTGGGCACCAGCATTTTTTTAAGTTACTCGGGTGATCATTCAGGGACACAAGGATACAAACCAAGTATATCTAATCAACACTGTGCTAGAGGTCCTGGTTATGCAATAAGACAATCAGGAATAATAGTTTTTATTCCTAATTGTAATAAAAACATTCAATTACCTAAAAATGAACTGACCGAAAAATACAAAGATCTTTATCGAAATAGCTAAGACAATTTAGTAAAAGACATAAAAATTCTTTTATGCATTCCCAGTCAAAATCCCAAAAAGATTTTTCATACAACTTGACAAGCTGATGAAAAAACCAGTTGAGCAAGATAAGCCCAAACAACTTTGAAAGGCAATTTAATATAGGCTAAAAGTGTTCTTTTACCTCAATGGGGTAAAAGGCAGGTTAATAATTGGTGCTTGGAAAACTGCTTATTCACACTGAAAAAAAAACAAAGTTAAGTCGTAACTCACCCCATTATGAAAACAAATTACATACAGATGAAGGAACAAAATGGATGAAGAAAAAAACCCTGACATTTTAACAGTATTAAAATATGAGTATATGTTTATGACTTGGGAATAGGAAACTTCTCAAACAAAGTAGAAAACATACCAGAAAAAAAGTAAGACAGAAACACTAAGAATACATCCAAATTAAGAAACCCTATATAAAAGTTTAAAGATAAGCCATAGATTGGGAAAAGATGTTTGCAACACAAAAAACAAATGATTAGTATACAAAATATATAAAAATTATTATAAATGGATTAACAGGAAGACCATAGAAAAACAAGCAAAAATAAATAGACAATTCTAGGAGAGGAAAAACTTGAGTGGCCTAAAAACACAGAAAGATTTTCAACCTCACTACTAATCAGAGAAATAATAAATAAAATGAGATAACATTTTTATCAAAGTATTAACAAAACAGTGTTAAAGCCATAATAGTAAGTTTTGATGTGAATGGAATGAAATCAGTACTGGCATTCATTGCTGGGGTAAATGTGGATGAGCCATTTTGGAGGGCAATTTGCCATTGTCTATTGAAACTAAAAAACTGTGTTTCCTGTGTTCCAGCAACTCTACGTATATTCCAGCACACTGCAATTCAAAGAACTTTGTGTGGTGATAGACATGTTCCACATCTGCTATCCAGTATGATAGCCCTATGTGGCTTCAGAGCACTTGAAACATCACTAGCGTAATTGAAGAAATGAATTTTTAATTTTATTAAATTTAATTAACCATAATTTAAATTTAAATAGCCACATGTGACTAATGGCTACCAAATGGGTCAATACAGCTTTTGAAAAACACTTGCACATGTTCACAAGGATATGCTTCATGTGGAAAGAACTTTAAAGTCTATATACAGAAGACCAGTTTAAAAAAGCCATCGTATCCCACACCATGGAGCTTTATGTTCACAAGAGAAGGCAGACTAATGTATACCAAATAGAAGGATCTCAAAGACAGAGGGTATAATGAATCATACCCACATACACTCTAATTTTTAGGAACTAGATTTGTTTTGTGGTTTTTATGTTTATTTGTTGGTTTCATATAAATGGTGTCATACTAAACAGATCAGCTGCAGGGTTCTGGAAGAATCCACACTAAGCTGAGAACATGTATAATCCTGAGATGGCACTCAGAGGGAAGAACATGGAGAAGGGGGAGTGATGGTTCAGGAAGACATTAATAAAAGTCTATTAACATATTATTTTTTTCATTAAAAATAAACATAGGCTTTAACTTTAAAATTTATCAATTTTCAAAAATGACAATTATGAGGGAAAAGAGAAAAATGAAGAAACGTAGTGTTCTAACCATCATACCAGAGCCATGAGAATGTCCATGACCTCCATGCTTGAAAACAAATATTCCTACTAGGTTTACCACAAACCCAAGAACTGAAACAAGAAGCAGTCTCTCATGGTGTACATCGGGAGGGGCTAATGCTCTCTAGAAAACACATAATACAAACAAAGAGCATTGATATAATTTCTGATTGATCAATTGGTAAAAACAAAAAGCAATCTTTAAAAATTTATTATTTTCAAAATTAAAAGCATTCTAAAAATATATGCCAAGACAGTTTATAGGGAAAAAACAAAAACAAAACAAAGTGCTCACTTACTGTAGACAAGGTAATAATTACTATTTTTAAATATTTAAAATATTTAAATAAATAAAAAACCAGATATTTAAAAGCATGACTATTTCATCTAAAACCTCTCTCTCTTTGGTATCTTAAATAATATTGCCATTCATTTTAAGTTCACTGATCTTTCAATTTTCTCTTTCCGTTTTTTTATTGTACCAAATATTAAAGATTCACCTGCAAAACTCTCAGGTTCTTTTTAAGAACTCTTTCCAACAGACCTCACTATCCAGATTGTGCTTTTAGTTTTCATAGAGTCAACACTTCATTCATAGCCTATAAAGCACTATCATTTGGTTGTTTTCAATTTCAAGTAGTTTCACATATACTTAATTTTTTCAACTATTTTATAAGCTCCTTTAACATAATATTTTACCTAACCCAAGACTGTCCTCAATAATTAATAGCATGAAAGAGCTCTGTAACATGTACCTTTAGTTCATAAACATTTTCATTATAGAAATGTAATTTAGTGAGTCTAATCATTATTTACAATACCTCAACTCCTTCTGAGAAAATAAAAAAAGCAGTGAAGATCAAAAATAGGCCATTGACAAAGCCAGCCAGAACTTCCGCTCTAACATACCTAAAGAAGAGCAAAGCAAACAACTGAATTATTATTTCTTAAAAATTAAATAATAAATTTATACATATTCAGAGGTTCTAAACCATATTTATATGGTTATAAGCAGCCAGCAAAGTTCTAGTATTTATAGTAGAATGTGTTTTATTCTACATATATTGTAGAAATGAGGAAATGAATTTAATTATAATGAATTATGTATAATAGCACAATACTGCAAAATACATCCATTTCTACAAGCCAATAAAGGCCTTCTTAAAATAAGCAGATTTAGAAAGACCTTTCACAGAAATGTAAATCTCAAGTTGCCCCTGGAGAAGGAAAAACTAGACTAGACAAGTAGGCAAAGGAAGGATCTAAAGATAAAAAGGAGAAGAAAAGGACTTGAAAGAGGAGTTTTTCTAACTTACTGGTTGCTTTTTTTCTAAGAATTCCTTACATTTTTTTGTTTTGTAACTTTCTGCTCAAATATTTGGAAAATGGAGCTTTGATCTAGAGGAAAATAAAATTATTTCTGAATTACCCCAGAGATAACTTGAGATTTATATTTCTATCACTCTTTTCTAAGATAAATAAATTAAACAAAAATGTTTCAATTACCTATTTTTACAATCAATTCTAGCTTCACATAATACTCATTAAACTATGTTAAAAATACCTGTCTTTTTCTCCATGGACTTCTGAAGCTTTCTGCTTCCTACCTGCGTGAAGCATTGGGGAAAGATTTTATTTTTTCCATAAGGTACTATTTGGCTTAGTTAAAGTCATCAGAAACAACTTTAACTTGGCAGTTTTACATGTCCTAACATTATTCAAAGGGTGCTGACAGCAGTTAATCACTCTGGTCCTTAAACAATATAATAGGAGAATCAGAAACACTGCTTCTTCTAGCTTTCTATGTCAATTTCTAGGTAATACAATTTTTACTATAAGAACTATGTTTAAAGTAAAAAGAACAAACTCTTTAAAAAGCACTCTATTCAGTCCTGTTGGGAGTTTGCTCTGTCAGTACATTCCAACATAGTACATATTTCTCCACTCAGAAATAATGCATATTTCTACCTTCTAACACATACGAATAAATTAAATTTACATAATATTTGTCAAAGCATATGCCTTTTTATTTTTCAGGAGAGAACATTCATTAAATTCAGCTGGCTTTTCATAGTAAACACTTAGGAATTGATCTAATATATCAGCAGGGTTACTAACCTCAAAATGAAAAGCACTTTCTTTTAGCCCACTCTTCTACTCCCATAGCTAATAACTGATAGAAAGCCTTTTGTCCTTGAGTTCCATTAAATTTCAAGATCAAAGGTAGGAATGTTATCCAGGTGTCTTTTTGTCTCTAATGCCTAGCTTAATAGGTGCTCCATAAATTCTGATAAACTGCTGGGCTAAAGTGACTTAATTAAGCTTAATATATTTGCTAAACTTGGTTGCAGGATTGAAGTGAAAAACGTGAAAACCAGACATACTTGCCTTTACAAATGACTACATTTACTTGAATACAGTGAGTCTTGGAATGAAAACAGCACATTCATGAAAGTGCTATTGCCTAATAAAGTATGATGGTATCTGAATTCTTTAGCCATGGCAAAAAATATACAATGATACATACATACATATAAAGGCATGTACATGTGCATTCATCTACCTTTCAGACATATATTACTTTTATGCTGGCATTGCTATTTCAAAAACAGGAGTGTGACCAGACACGAAGATGACTTTTCTATAAAGAAATACTGAAAAGTCTTCTGCTTCTCATATTCCTCCTGTTACTCTTCTACCAGTCAGTCTGCTGCCATGATCATATTGAACTGGGGGGTTAGGGATTCATCCCCAGGCTTAGCCTATTTGGTGTCACTTTGATGTACTGGTACCTACATTTTACTACTGCTGCTACTTACTACTATAGCAACTATTAATAGTTTCAAATGTTGCATTAGATTTTACTAATTTTTCCCTTCTCAAAAGAAAAAAGCAAACAAGAAGACAAAACAAGAAATAAAAAGGTGGCAAGATTATCACTCTCCTATATTAACTAGTTAGAGTTGAATAGTTAAAAGCTGCTATGATACTGAGGTATTCAAAGCTGTTCCTAAAAACCATCTTAGAATGGGACACTGTGCTTTATAAATAGAAAAAAATAGGTACCCTAAGATTTAAGGTACTGATAATTTTAATTGTCACCTACTGTTTATCCTGAATATTTTTTAAATTTTTTTCTGAAAAATTGTTAAATAAGATATTCTAATCAGATTTTTTATTTATAGTACATATGAATTACTAATTTTCCAACATAAGATTAGAACTTTACATGCAATCTTTCTTTAATGATCCAAAATACACTTAGGAATCTTGTGATTGCATAATGCCATGGAAAATGTTCTCTTCTGAGCTATTTGGATTTATAGATATAGAGATCCCTCACTGTAGTCAATAGAAACAGTATATTAGTGTTTTTTGTCTCACTTTTTATAATCTTACAAAGAGCCACATCACTTTGGGTATACCCAAAATCAGCAAGTTCTGTCACAGAATTTCATCTATCTTTCTTTTGGCACTTGTCACAATGTACGGTTTTTATGGTGTTTTTTACAGTATTGTTTCCTCATTAGAGCACAAGTTCCTCCAAGGCAGAAGCCATCTTTTATTCATCTTTAAAAGTAGCAAAGAGCCAGACTCATATGGGCCCTCGATAAATATCTGAAGAGAACAAGAGCACATACAAGAGAAAGTGCATGCATTCTGGCTTGAGAACAAAAGCGATGGTGGAGAGAAAGAAGAAGCAGTGAGGGAACAAGAGTAAAAGAGAGAACAGGAAGCAGTGTGCATAAGACAGTGGATGTGAGCAGGTAGGACAGAAGGAGAGACACTATAAAGGAAAGGGAACCTTCCGGAAGAAGGATCAGTGAAAAAAGGAACGAGACTGGGGATGGGAAAGAAGAAAGAACTAGGGCTAAGAAGTTGAGAGGGAGGAGGAATAAGAAAGAGCCTGAGAGAGACAGTGGCCGAGGGTAGAGAGAGAGAGAGAAAACAGGAGAAAAAAAAAATAAAAGATGTGTGGGAGAGAGAAAGATAGGAAGGGGTGTGAAAGGCCGAGGAACAGGGAGAGATCATGAGCAGAGGCACAAGGAACTGGAAAAAAAGAACAAGAGAAGGGAGACGGGAGTTCAGGAGAGACGGCAGAGAAGATGAGGATGGAGATGAGAGTAAAAGAGAAAACAGGTAAGAGTGAAGAAAGGAGATAATGTGAGAAAGCACTCACAAGGGAGGGGGACAGAAGAGAAAGAGTCAACAAGTAAGAGGTGAGAGAGGGGAACAGGAAAGAGAAAGAAGGTGGAGAGACAGAGAAGGAAGGTATTACCCCTAAGTGCTGCTTACACATAAATATAATTACACTGCAAAATACTCTATGAACTTGAAAAAGAAAACATTCAGGCAGAGTCAATCAAACACTGGACACTCCACTGCTTCTCCCAATCAGTGATGGCAAAAGGTAAACTCTGCCTCTAAATAATACTAGGCTCAGAAGTGAGACCAGATGTTCCAATATAGTCTCTCCAGCATAAAAACACTCTCCAATATTTGACTAATTATCCAAATTGAGCAAGAGTATGAAAAGAAACATTTTTCATAAAAGCAATGCTTGAAGAGGGTAAATAATATAAAATCATATCAGGAAAAGATAACTTTAAGTCAGTAACAAAATATCCCTCTAAAAAAGAAACATGACCATTTTTATATACTGAAACTTTCTTCTTCTCCCCCCCACCCCCCGCCCAAAATAGGTTAAGAGTTAAGAAAGTTTCCTATCTAGCAAAAAATTTCTCTTAAAATTTTTTGGTAAAACCAAGATGTCCTACCTCTAAGCAAAAGAATGCAAAAGAACTTAGATGCAAAAAAAAGTACATGCTGTAGATTCCAAATAAACACCGTTCCAAAACAGGTAAAACAAATCCACCGAGTTAGGAAGTACTGCACAGGAAGGAACCAGAAGGAGGCAATGGGGGGCAGGCGGGTTAAGGGCTCAAGTTACACAAATGTGTTCAATTTGTGAAAATTCATGTGCTTAAGATTTGTATTTTTTCTGTATTTCTTATGCTTTAAAAAAAAGGTTTTTAAAAAGTCTTACCCATAAGAGAAAGCATCATTATCTCTCCATTTTGAAATAACAGATGCTGCCAATCCAGCCAAAATGGCAGTGCTATCGAAAAACATGTGAAAAGAGTCGGAAATCAAGCCTAAGCTGTAAAAGAACAGACATATTGGCATATTATAATAGTAACCAAATAGTAAGCATCCTTCTCTAAATTCTCTCAATGTCCTTCTGCTTATCAGGAACTAATCTTCTAAAAAGACAACCTTGAAATACCATACATAGAAAAATATTAAGGATAAATTTTAAACACCTAAGAAGGAAATCCTAACAACCCTTGCCCAAGGGGGGTGGAAAAAAAACAGCTTCTACTGAAAGAGGGGTAAAAACAAAGCTAGCTGCTACTGGAGAAGGGGCAGGGTTTTGTCCACTCTCTGGTCACTGGCAGAGGTCAGCTGCCACTGAAAGAGAGAGAGAGAAAAACCCAGCCATCTACTGCTGGGGGCAAGTCTGAAGCCACGTTGGGCCCAAGATCTTACATTGATAAAAAGCAAAGGTCTGCTGCTGTTGGAAGAGGGTAAGACAACTGTTCCTTTTTTTGATAAAAGGCTGTGGGGAGAGGTGGGAGAAGGGGCAGGAACATTAATAATACCCACTCTGGCTCTAAGTATGAAGGGACTGCCTAAAAATAAGGCTCCAGCAGGAGAACCAAATTCTCTCTCCCCTGCAACGAAAGCCTTGACTAGAGTACAAAACAATAGCAATCTATCTGTGAGAGCTGAGTAAGAGCAGAGACTCCCCTGGAGCAAGGTGTGCAGGGCTTGCTGAAAACTGACAGCGGAGCAAGAACACTGAAAAAATCCTCCAGGACCCCAAGCCCTACCCTAAACAGAAGGTGGTAAAAGCCACTCAAAAAATCTGAAGTCAAGGGCGCCTGGGTGGCTCAGTGGGTTAAGCCTCTGCCTTCGGCTCAGGTCATGATCTCAGAGTCCTGGGATCGAGACCCACATCGGGCTCCCTGCTCAGTGGGGAGCCTGCTTCCCCCTCTCTCTCTGCTTGCCTCTCTGCCTACTTGTGATCTTGATCTTTCTCTGTCAAATAAATAAATAAAATAAAAAAAAAAATCTGAAGTCAGTGGCTTGTTGCTAGTCAACTCTTGATCAGAGACTCAAAACCCCCACACTAACGGCCTGACAAAGTAACAGGTGTGCATATTTCTGGGCATCAATACTATTAACCTTTGTCCCTATTATTTTTTTAAACATAAATTTTACCAAACATTTAAAGAACAATAAATACCAATCCCTTACAAACTCTTCCAAAAAAACAGATGATGAAGAAATGCTTCCCAATTCACTGTATAAGAGCAGTATTACTCTCATACCAAAATGCATACCAAAATGAGACAAAAGACACCACAAGAAATGAAAGAGACTAATCTTTCACAAATATACATACAAAAATCTTCAACAAATACTAGCAAATGGAATCTAAGAATATATATTTTAAAAAGTATACACTGTGACCAAGTGGGATTAATCCCAACACTGGAAGGTTGGTTCAATATATGAAAATCAATCAATCAATCAAACACATCATATCAAGAGGATAAAAGACAAAACCACAAGATCATCTCAACAGGTGCCAAAAGAGTTGGACAAAATTTAACATTCCCCTTCATAACAAAAACACTCAACACCCTTGGAATAGAAAGAACTTCCTCAATTCTTAAATGGCATCTACAAAAATCCCACAGCACAATTAATGGCTAATGACTGAATGTTTCCCCCTAAGATCAGGTATAAGATAAGGATGTCCCCTCTCACTACTTCTATTTAACATTATACTGGAGGATCTAACAAGGGAAGTTAGGAGGAAATAAAAGACACCCAGACTGGAAGTGAAGGAATAAAACTATCACTATCTGCAGATGACAGGATCTTATATATATAAAATCTTAAGGACTCTACTAAAAACCTATTAAAATAAATAAGTTTAGCAAGGTTGCAGGACACAGTTATCAACATACAAAAATGAACTGTATTCCTATATAGGAATGATACAAAAAATAAAATAAAATAAAATTTCCATTCGCAATAGCATCAAAAAAAATACAAACACATTTAACAAAAAAGTATAAAATTTATACTCTAAAATATAGAATACTGATGAAAAAATTAAAAAGACCTAAATAAATGGGAAGACATCCATATTTATGGATCAGAAGACAATACTGTTATAATGCCAATACTTCCCCAATTGATCTACAGATTCAACTCACTCCTATCAAAATCCCAGCTGACTTCTTTGAAAAAAGTAATAAGCTGTTCTTAAAATTCATACAGAAAAGCAAAGGTGGAGGACTCAAACTTCCCAATTTCAAAGTTTACTACAGAGTTACAGTAATCAAAACAGTGTGGTGCCGGCACAAAAGTAAACCTATAGAGCAATGGAACAGAATTTAGAATCTAGAAATAAATCCTCACATTTACGGTCAACTGACTTCTGACAAGGATGCCAAGATACAAAGAACAGTGTTTTCAACAAATGCACTGTTACACCTGGAAACCCACATGCAAAAAATGGTTTTTGCCCTTATTTCATACCATACACAAAAATTAACCCAAAATAGATCAAAGACCTACGCATAAAAACTAAAATATTCACCACCTTGGATTGGGCAACAGTTTCTTATATAAATAAGATATCAAAAGCACAAGTAACAGCAAAAACAGAAAACACAGACTGGACATCACTGGAATTTTAAAACTTATGTTCCTCCAAGGACAATAATAACAAAGTTAAAAGATAATGCACATGTGTGAGGAAGTATCTGCCAATCATATATTTAACAAGGGGCTTGTATCCAGAGTATAGGAAGAACTCTTTTTCTGTTTAAAAAAAAAAAAAAATTTTTTTTAAGATCTTATTTATTTATTTGACAGAGACCACAAGCAGGCAGAGAGGCAGGCAGAGAGAGAGGAGGAAGCAGTCTCCCTGCTGAGCAGAGAGCCCAATGTGGGGCTCGATCCCAGGACCCTGAGATCATGACCTGAGCCAAATGCAGAGGCTTTAACCTGCTGAGCCACCCAGGTGCCCCTTAAAATATTTTTTTTAGTAATCTCTACATCCAACATGGGCCTTGAACTCACAACCCCAAGATAAACAGTTGCAGGCTCCACCGTCTGAGCTAGCCAGGTGCCACTATATGAAAAACTCTTAAGACACTTCAAAAAAATAAATAATCCATTTTCTTTTTTTTTTTTTAAGATTCATTTATTCATTTGAAAGAGAGCGAGCAAGCACCAGAGGGAGGGGCAGAGGGAGAGAGACTCTTTTTTTTTTTTTTTTTAAGATTTTATTTATTTATCTGACAGACAGAGATCACAAGCAGGCAGAGAGGCAGGCAGAGAGAGAGGAGGAAGCAGGCTCTCTGCCGAGCAGAGAGCCCGATGCGGGGCTCAATCCCAGGACTCTGGGATCATGACCTGAGCCGAAGGAGAGGCTTTAAGCCACTGAGCCACCCAGGTGCCCGGGAGAGAGACTCTTAAGCAGTCTCTGCACTGAGTGTGGAGCCTGATGCAGTGCCAGATCTCATGACCCTGAGATCACAACCTGAGCCAAAACCAAGGTGTCACTTAACCAACTATGTCATCCAGAAGCCCCAAGATAAATAATCTAATTTTTTAAATGAACAAAGAACCTGAGTAAACATTTCTCCAAAAACGAAACACAAATGGCCAATAAACACATAAAAGATACTAAACATCATTAACTACCTTTCAGGGAAATGCAAATCAAAACAATGAGAAACACCTTCATACCCACACTTTGATAACTAAGTCAAAAAAAATCAGTAAGAAGTGTTGGTGAGGATGTAGAGAAACCAGAATTCTCACACACTGCTGGAATATTATTTGGCAATAAAAATAAATGAATGCTAACACATGTAGAATATGGATGACCCTTGAAAACATCATGCTAAGTACAACAAACCTGCCACAAAGGATCATACATTATGATTCCATTTATATGAAAGGCCAGAGTAGGCTAATATATACAGACAGAAAGTAGATTAGTGGTTGCCTAGAATTAGGGAAATCAGGGGATAAGGGAATTAGAGGGCAATGGCTACAGGTGCAAGGCTTCTTTCAGGGAATAAAACTGTTCTAAAATTTATTGTTGTGATGGTTTTACAACTCTGTGAGTATATTAAAAGCCATTTAATTATATACCTTAAATCAGTGAATTGTATGGTATATGAGTTATCTCAATAAAGCCCTTTTTAAAAAATGATAACTATCTAAGACAGAGATCAGCAAGCTATGGCCCAGATCACCATCTATTTTTGTAAATAAAGTTTTACAGGAACACAGTTACACTCATCCATTTATATACTGTCTACTGATGCTTCTGTGCTATAACAGTAGAATAGAGAAGTTGTGAGAGACCTTATGGCCCTTGAAGCCTAAAATATTCACCATCTGCTGTTTAGAGAAAGTTTGCTAACTACTGGTATAAAGCAAACACAGGTGCACTGTATTGTGGAGTTTCAACACATAAAAGTGAAATGAATGGCAATAAGCGCTTAGGACAGTAGAAAATATAAGTTTTTTTAAAAAAGATAAACATACTTGTGGTAAGTTAAAAATCCATATTATGCATACTAAAGCAACCACTAAAAAAAGTCACTAAAGGAGGGACATAGAATTCTGCACCAACACAAAGCAGATGTTCTGCTACCACTGGAAAAAGAGCAGGAAACTCACTCTCACCCAAGACTATCCACATGTACATAGCAGTTTTGCTTTCACAAGAGGGGCAAAAATGTTGAAAACAACACAAAACATACTCCCAAGGCCAGGTTCACAGGGCCTGCTTAAGACTGAGGCAGGGTTGGGACGCCTGGGTGGCTCAGTTGGTTAAGCGGCTGCCTTCGGCTCAGGTCATGATCCCAGCGTCCTGGGATTGAGTCCCACATGGGGCTCCTTGCTCGGCAGGGAGCCTGCTTCTCCCTCTGCCTCTGCCTACCACTCTGTCTACCTGTGCTTGCTTTCTCCCTCTCTCTCTCTCTGACAAAAAAAAAAAAAAAAAAAAAAAAAAAAGACTGAGGCAGGGTTAAGTTAATGAATGCCCCTCTGCTGTCACTA